TATATATATATATATATTGTTGTATAGATACTAATTAACGTCATTAATATATATGTAATAAATAATGCAATAGTATATTGATATAGTTTTATTGAATATATATACCTATTTTTTCTTGAAATGTATTTTTTATTCTTTTTGATATAGCAAAATATTTTTATTTAAGAATATATAAAAGGGTTTATTTCAAAAATGTATATTATAAGGCATATTTTGATTTAAGATAAAAAATTATATAATACATAATAAAAAATCTAAACAATAAGAATAATTAAAATTGAATTTAAATTTATAGCATAGCTTAAATTCTGATGTATAAATGTTATATGTAATTATATTTGCTAGCATATGATAATTAATTTTTATCATATTCTATTGTAAGAAATATAATTTTATTTTATTTACACATATATATAATCTTAAAAAGATGATCAAATTTCTTATTATGATTTTTTATATAATTATATGCTTCATAGATAAATACAATTCATGATATGCTAATAAACGAAATAGAGTTTTATCTTATATAGTTTTTTCTATGAATGAAGTAATATTGACGTAAATTAAGTAAAATCCTAATATCAAAAGAATCAATTACCACTATATTATTCAAATATAATATATGCACGTATCGATATTTTTTTGGAAGCATGACAAAATATACCTAATATAAATATGTCAGATTACCGTTAATTTTTTCTATTTAAAATCATTTGATGTACATTATAATATTATAAAATAATAGTTCAAAAAAATGAATAGAATAACCTAAATCAATAATATAAATGATATATTTACCATTCTATTATTTAACAATTTTATGATAGGACATTATTTATGCCTCCTTGTCTGAATGAAAATATATGCTTTTAATAATTCCTATTTTTGAATATATTTTTGCCAATATATAACTATTTTATATAGTTAGATTTCATGTATCCAACTATTAATCTTATACTTTTAATACATTTTTTATAAGTTATAACGTTTTAAACTATATAATACTTTGAGAGATGATGATAAAATTATATGTTTCATCCTATTATTCATGTTGTTTCTTCTTAATGAATGCATTTTATTCATTTTCGTTCATTAATTTTTATAGTTGTATAGAATTTATTAAATGAAAAATTTACATACTTATAGTAAAGAAATAGCATCCTTAATTCCTAAAATATACTCTAATAAGTATATATTATACAAGGTTTTTAGAGGTAACAAATTTATTATCGTATATATCATATATATATTTATTATTTCAATGATATATTTTATTTTTCATATAAGTCATAACAATTGTATTAATATAATTATTCTTATTCAAATGCTCATTATATATACCCGTGATCAATTATTATAATTTAGTATGTTTTATATATTAAATTGATTATTAAACTTATATCATTTTATTTATATTCTGGGTAAATATATTTCATTTATACATGCTTTTGCAACATGATTCTAAAAAAATTGGTTTTACATTAATTATATAATTCTCTAATCATATATAACTTTATACATAAGGAAAATATAAAAATTCCATAACATATTGATATATTTTCTTATTAATTTTTTGTAGTGAATTTATATATATAAATGTTATAACTTTAATATATTTCATCATTTGTATTTAAAATATATGTGTGTATCAATCTTGCGTTCGACAATGATTCGTATATTTGTTTAAAAATATACAATACATGATGTTATTAATTCTATAGTTAATATATTTAAATAAAGATGTATATAATACATGTGTGCTTCATTATTTATTCATATGGACATGTATATCGTTGTTCTGTAATATTGATATACAAAAATTATAAGTATTACAAGTATAAATTCATAATATCATAAAATATTTTATAAATTATATGAATTATAATTTAAATATTTTGTAATGACAAAGTATATTTAAATTTTATAACAAATATTTGTAAATCAGGTTTTACATTACTAGAACAATGAAGTGTCAATAAAAATATTTTGTAGACACCGTTAATTAATATGTATAAAAATCAATAATTATTATTTTATATTTATACTTATAAGCACTAATTAGACATGTAGGGAATATCAGAAATTATATATTTTTCTAGAGGCATAATTTATATTATTTTAATATGTTCATTATATATTAACCAAGAAAAAAACAAAAATTTTATTCATGCGATGAATATTCATGATTTATTATGAGTAGATTCATTATAACTGTATAATATTACTTTAGGAATTTATTTTATAATTAATGTTAAAAGACATGCTTTCTATTAAATATAATATAATCTCCTGAATATGTAATATGTAATAGTATGTATAATTAATTAAAATGCCTATATTTTATTCGTGATTATATTCACTAAAACAATTTAATTATTTTCTTATTATTTTTACATAATATATTATTGTTTTTACAATCATTATAATGTTTATAAAAAACATGTATAATAAATATATACATATCCTTATGAATAAAAATAATTTTATTCTTCTTCACATAAAATTTTATAGACGAAAAAATTTATTTTTGAATGTTTCATAAGATATTACTGTAATGTACTTTTGAGGGAATTTAAGTCATTTCATAAATAAATTTTATAAATTTTTAAACAAATAAATATTGTGTGTATGAATTCCATAATATTACAGTAATATAAATATACATTGTATCTATAAATTATTATGAACTATTACAGAAAAGAGTATTCTAATTTTCATATATTACTTATTTATTTTTTTTTAAATATAAATTCGTAATATACATTCGTAAATGACATGAAATTATAAATGAGTATGTTTCAAATCCGGCATTCATAAGTTATCAATGCACAAATGAAGTTTTTGCCACAGATGATTATTTACATGGTAAATTCAAGATAGAAACATGTATAACGGCCTTGTTTTTAGTATATATTATTGAAAAAAGCTTATATAATATACCTAAAACAGATTATTTATACTTGTGCTATTGGCTATATAATGAACATAATGTCAAAGATATAAAAGCAGAAAACAAAGGTACATATGAAATGTTAATAATTAGTGCAGGTAATAATAAACACATATGTAAAATTACTTATGGACAATATGGATTAAAGGATCTTCAAATTTTGAAACTCAATATTATATATAATATATATAAAATCATTAATAATAGAAGTAATAAAGACTTATCTCATATTAAAGATTATTTTTATAATATATTAAAATTATTTACAGAAAAATATAATAAACAGGAACGCAGATAATCTCCTAAAATTAGAGAAAAATTTGTAATGCTCGCATGCAATGTAATATTTCTATCATCATTATACTACAAATTCTTATAATATTAGTAATAGCCCTTTTTTTATTTATTTTATACAAGGTTAACATAATTATTATTAATGTTTTTTATAATAAATGAATCAATTTTGTAATAGAATACAATGTGACCTTAAAAATATTATGTAATTAATCCATATATTTTTATTCTTATCTGAATTTATTTAACACCCTATGGATCATATATAAGTTGTACAATAAAGGGAGTTAGGAGTAATTTGGAAAATACGGGGAAAAGAATCAAATAAAATGCATCAAGCTCATGATCTAAAAATATTTCAACCCATATGAGATACAATGTACTATATAATTTTGATTA